CCTTGGGAAAACAGCTCCAAGCCAGGCTCAGCCCCTGGACCAGCACCCCTCCACTCCCCATTCCCTTAGGAATTTTCCCAATCCATCAGGGGAATCTCTGAGGATTTTGAGTTTATTTTGGAGTTGTGCATCCTCATGAATTAAGCATGGGCCTGGAACTGTTTGGATGCTGCTAAGTCAGTTGTTAAATGAGAGTTGGAAATTAGAGCTGAGCTGTGTAATTACATTTACAGATCTGCATCTCTGCACAACTTTAATGGGCAGATGTCGGGCACGGGCATGGACAGGATGCATCTGGCATTTGGAAGCTCCAAAAGGAATTAATCCTGATTTATTTTAGCTCCAGAGCAGGGAAAAGCCACGTTCCTGCTGCAAGAGGTGGTGTCCACATCTCTGGCCTAGCAGGGGTCCCTATTTACATTCCTGGGAGGGTGAGGAGTGCCACACCACAGGCTTCAATCAACCCCCTAATAAATGAGCTAATGAGCAGCTGAAATTCAGAGCTGATTGAGGCTGCCCTGCCTGCCAGGGTGGATTTGCCTTTGCAGCAGACCTGCAGCCCATTCTCCTGCTCCTTTTCCCCAGCACAGGTAGGAAGGAGCTGCTCCAGCAGGATTTCCCGGTGGGCTGCGTTTCTCAGGGATGTGTAGATCATTCTTATCTCTGTGTTTACTCAGTTTGTACAAAAATCAACATTTCTGGGGCAGCCTGGGCGCCTCCACCTTTCCCAGGCCTGGCTTTGCTGTGTGTGGCCGTGTTCCTGCAGCCACTGAGTGCATTTGGGAAAACCAGACCTTCCCCAGCCAGGCTTTTCCTTAAACATCCCTTTCCCAGGCTTGTAAATCAGCAGAGGAACTGGAGCTCTGCTTCCAGCAGTCTCCCAGAGTCATTCCAGACCTTCAGGGACAGGAGGGGATGATGCAGTGAAGGAAAAAACCCCTTCCAGACTTAATTTACTTCCAACTCCTCCATTAGCAATGCTGGAGGAGGCTTTTCCCTGCCTGGCACAGCCCGCAGGAGCATCCCTGGTGTGGAAAACCGGGATAAATCCAGCTCCTGGTGTGACAGGACAATGACATCAGAGCCACCAGCAGTGTGGGGCAGCCTTGCAGCCAGACACAGCTCCAGGAGGGAAGGCAGGTTTTCCCCTCTGTCCTTATCCTTTATTCCAAGATAATCCTGAGGGCCCGGATTAGCGAGGCTGGGCTGTTGGGGATGAGCTGGGCCTGACTCTGCAGCTTTAAACCAAGCCAAGAACCTGGATTTGGGGGAGGTTCATGAGAAGGTTTCCTCTGGCTCTGGCTCGGGGCCCAGCAGTGATTTTGGATCTCCCTTCCCGCTGGGATAAAGGATTTCTTTGGAAATGAACTTTTCCTGGTGATTCCCACCCTGCCTGAGCTCCTGGAGAGCCCTGAAATAGGGATGGGAAGCACAAATCCTGGGAATCTCACTCCTGTTCCCATCCTGGTGAGAAAAGTGCAACTGGAAGTGTCCCAGGCTGGATTGGATGAGGCTGGGAACAAACTGGGATGGTGGAAGGTGTCCCTGCCAGGGCAGGGCTGGGGCAGGAGGATCTTCACAGTCCCAATCCAAACCTCTCCATGATTCCAGGAATCATTCCCTGTTTCTTACTCAAGTGCTGCTTTGAAATCCCTCCAGGGATGGGGATTCCACCCCTGCTCTTCCTTTTCCCTGAAGAAATTCCTCCCGATATCCCACTAAACCTTCCCTGGCTTGACTCGAGCCCATTTCCTCCTTCCTCATCTTCATTTGGCCCCATGAATCCCCAATATTCATCCCTGAATCCCCAATATTCATCCCTGTTAAACACAAATATTCACATCCCTCTCTCATCCTGTCACTCCCAAAATTCCCAGAATCCTTGAGGCTGGAAAAACTCTTGGATCATCGAGTCCAACCATTCCCCAGCACTGCCCAGGCCACCACTGCTCTGTGTCCCCAAGTGCCACATCCACATGGATTTTAAATCCCACCAGGAATGGGGACTCCACCTCTGCCCGGGGCAGCTCTGCCTTTTCCAGGAAGAAATTCCTCCCATTATCCAACCAAAACCTCCCCTGGCACAACTCCAGGCCGTTCTCTCCTTCCTTAATTTCATTTTTACAGACGCACAGAGCACCCGTGAATTCACCTTTGAACGATCAAACCATCCATATCCCCCTCTGGAAAACATTCCCATCCCTCTCTCCCCCTGCATCCCAAATCCCAGTTTGGCCCTGGGAAATTGGGAAATGAGCTGATTGTGTGGAAAAGGAGAAGGTGCTGATCCTCTGGCGTCATCTTTGGGAGCTGCAGGGCTGAAGGTCGTTATCAAAGGTCGTTATCAATCGCTGATTAATTAATCAGCCAAGTCATGCAAGCAGGCAAAGGTTAACTGATAATTCCCATCCTAATAAAGCTGCTCTGATTGCACTTAACACCTGCTTTAAACCCAGCCTCATTAAGCCGGGGCTAATGAAAGGGGAACCTTCGAGCAAGGACAGAGTCAAAGACTCTTCCCTCCATGGCGTTTTCCCAGCAGGCAAAGCCATTCCAGGAGGAAATGCCTGGGAATAATTAATAATTGCCTGGGATATTTTAACTGAATTTTCAAAGCAAACAAACAAACAGATGGTGATTGCCTGGGAGGGGGCAGAGGTTGATGGGTTTGGGGGATGTGCTGTGTGGATTTTCCTGAGAGTTCCTCTGGTTTCAGCCCCAGGAATTCCAGGATGGTGCCGGGAGCTCATTCCCTGTTTTCTCACAGGTTTCCATCACTCCATCAAACACAACCCAGCGGGAAAAGTAGAATAAAATAGACACTTATCATCAGTATCCTTTGGAGCTTCGATTTTCCATGGCTCGTTTTCCATTGGGGCTGGAAGAGACTGTGAGGGACACCTCCCTCCACCCCAGGTTGCTCCAACCTGGCCTTGGACACCCCAGGGATGTGGCAGCTTCTCTGAAAATCCCATTCCTGTCCCTCTCCACCTTCACAGGGGAGAATTCCTTCCCAATATCCCACCTAAATTTCTCTTCTTTCAGTTAAAAAAAATCTCCCCACAACCCCCCTGTGATTCCCAGTGCCTCCAAATCCCGCTGGGATGGGTTCACTGGGAGCCAGCAGAGCCTGGTGAGCTGTTCTTTGCCTTTCAGTGGGGATTCTTTCTCTTCCCTCTTTATTTCACTCCTGCCTAAATGCAATAATCCCTCCCAGAGCCGGGGATTAGAGCTGGGCTGGCAGCGAGGCCCCGACACGAGCCAGAGCGGGGAGTGAGCGATGCCAGAGCTCCAGCAAATCCTCCCCACTTGGGATTGGGAAAACCAGACCAGACAAAACCTCGCTGGGACTATCACAGCAAAAAATCCTGCATTTTCTCAGGGAAAGGCACCACTGTGTGACCCCTTAGGGCTGGAGTTCCACTCCTTGGAGTGAAAAAACCTCATTCTTTCCTCTTTTTTAGAAAAAAAAGTGAGAGTTTTGCATGAAAAGTGGACAAATTCCAAGATTTTGTCATTGCTGGGATAAACCCCCCCTGTCTGGGATGTTCTGGTGGGGAAAGCCCAAGGGATTTGCACATTCCCAGTCTGGTTGTCTGTGGGCAAAGGGCAAAGCTCTGCTCCTGCATGGCCAGGGAGGAGCTGCCTGACTCAGCCCTGGACTTTGCCTGTTTGCAGGGAAAAATCAACCCCAGTTTGGGCTGAATCATCCCATCCCCACCCCGAGGACATCCCGGGATGTCCCTGCTGGAAGCACGGGAGCAAAGCCAGCCTTGAACCTGCCGGAATCTTCTGGAGACTCTGGAAATGATCCAAACCCAGAGATTTTCCTCTCTGTGAGGAAAAACTCCCTAACCCTCGATGTTCAAATATTGGAAAATGAGATTAAAGCGAGGAAAATCCGTTTTCTTTTCCAGCTTGACGGTGTCGCCGTGCACTTCCTCACGCTCCTGCTGCTTGGATCCTTTGAGCCATCCTATGTCCAATCCAAAACCCCACAGAGGTGGATAACAGATTGTTGGGACATCATTCCTGGTCTCCTCTGTTTTCCAGCTCCAATTTGCGACTTTAAAATATAAAATTATTTTAAATTTATACAATTAAAAAATTTAAATTTATTTAAATGTATTTTAAAATTTTAAAATAACCCTTAAATTAAAACTCCCAACAGGTAGAGCAAAGGATTTAATCCCAAACTGGGAGCGGTGCTAGCTGGAAACACCTGGGAATTTTGGCATTCTGCTTTGGGAAAACTCAGGGATTTCTTTCCTTCCCCAAACCACCAGAATTCCCACTTTAAAGTGTTCAAGGATCTTCTGCTGCTGTGCTGAGCAAGCTGCTTTCCCAGGATAACTCAATTCTGGAGAGCTGCAGCCATCAGGAATTGGTATAGGAATTGAATCCATAATTAATATGTTTATAATGAGCATTGAAAATAAAGCTGAACTCTGCTGTGGTCAAAGTGCACCGGCTTTGCTGACCAAAAGTGTTTAAATACACCTCAAGTCAGGTTTAGCAGCAATTAAGCCAGAGAGGGAGGTGTTTAATTAGAATTTTAGGGATGAAACGGGCACAAAATCCAGCCTGGAAAAGGCTCCTGAATCCTGTGGGATGCTCCAGCTCTTTTAAACCTCACAAGAACGGGGTGCTGAGATTTCCCTGCCAGGCTGGAGCCGCTCCTTGCAAAGCCCCAGCTGAGGCTTTGCCAAGCCGGGCTCAGCTGCTCCGGGCCCAGCCTGGGGAGCTGATCAGACACATCCCAGTGGAGCTCCCTCCTCAAACCAATCCAAGCCATCCCTGGAGCAGCTGGGTGGGAATTCCAGCGGGGTGGGAGCTCCTGATCAGCAGTGGATGAACCTGGATAAATTCCTCTCTTTTTAGCAGCAGCTTTTCCAGATTTAACCTCCGGCTCAGCCACCACCAGCTGGGACTTCCACTGAAATTCAGGGCAGGGATACGATATAAAATTATATATATGATATAAAAATCCGAAGTTTTTGCCCCAAACCCATCCCTTTTCCATCGGGAGCACCACAGGGAAGCCACCATGAGGGACAAATTCCATTTTCCTGGGCAGAGAATTCTCCCTGTGTAGAATTGCAGGGCCCTGCACGGTGTTATCAGGGCACATTATCCCTGTGGGAAGGCTGGAATTATTTTTGTCAGGTTGTTCCAAGCTGTTCATTACCTGGGAGAGAATTTGAGGGAAGGTTTCTGCTGCTGCTGAGGAGAGCTCTGGATTTATGGATGTAAGAACAGCTCCTAAACAAAGGGAATTGTGAGCTAACACTGCTTTGGTTAAGCAGAGTTGAATTATTTTTGTGAAATGTTTTTATTCCATTTTTGCCTTCCAGTGCAAATGTTTGTTTTCTATTTCCTGATGTTTCCCTCCATCATTTGATTCCATTCTGATATTTAAATATGTATTTGCAACTCTGCTGTGATTTCCACCTCCAGCGAGCCTTTCATTGGCCTCCTCACCACGAATTGGAGTCTTCAAAGCACTTCAAAGGCCAGGAAAAGGATGAAATCCTTCACCCCAAAGCCTTCCCAAAGAGAAGGAACATTTCCATTCCTCAGCAGAGGTTTCCACCTGCTCTCCAGCTGCCTCCAGAGGTGTTTTGTTTTCAGGGAGGGTGGAGGATGCAGGAATATTCAGCGAGGGATTGATCCAGAGGTGAGTGAAGAGCTTTGTTTTTCCCTCCTCTCCATCCCTGTGATCCCAACTCCTCAAGGACAAATCCTTTAACTGCGAGCAGGGAGCTGCCGTCATCTCCTCCTTCCAAACCAGCTGAAAACACGGCAGGGAAAAAAGGGAAGGACAAAAAAAACCACCCCAAAAGCCAGCAGGGATTTTAAGGCTGGGATTTAAATTCGGGACGGGGTCTCCAGGAGGTGCTGATATGGAGACATCTCCCCTTATCAGCATTCCAGGGATGGATAGATCTCCCTGAGCCAGCTCAGGAAAGGCATCTCACAGGAACATTTCCTTGGATTGTTTCCTTGGAACTCCCTGAGCCTTGGTGCTGCTGAGCGAGTCTCCAGCAGATCCCGGACATTTGGGGGTTTGGAAGCTCAGCTGAGACAGAGCAAACAAGAGCTGCGGAATTCCTGGGAGCAGTCACACATTTATCTCTGTTGACTCTGGCTTTGGGAGTGCCAGACACCTTTATTCCCAAAAAAACCACAAATCCAAACAGAGCTGGGCACCCTGGAGAGGGCTTTGCCTCCACTGGGAGGTGACCAGGTCAAGATCCGTGTGTGGAGGGTCCTCCAAAAGCACCTGGTTCCGAGAAAAAACGGGAATTCTCCTGGGGAATTCTCACTTCCAGCCTGATCCTTATCTGTTTCTCCCATCAGGAGGTGTCAGCAGAGGAATTTATATCTGGAATGTCCTGCTGGGGTGGTTATTCCAACCTGGAGCCGTGAGGATGTGCAGGAATTCCAGCAGTGAGGAGATGTTTGGTGGGAAGCAGCCCCAGGGATGCTGGGGAAGAGCTGCTGGAGCTCCTGGAGCTCAGCTCCATTCCCAGAGTGTTTTCCCATTGGGAAAGGGATTTTGGGGAGCCACTCCCATCCTCCAAGGCAGAACACCTGGGGTGGTGCCATTCCTCTTGTTCATCCCCCCATTCCAATGCTCCATCCTGCAGGAATTTTAAGTTTTCCTTGAAATTTTAAAATATTTGAAATATTTGATTCTGCTTAAATATTTCTCCTGTCTTTTCTCCCTCACAGACGAGCTGGGAATGTTCCCCTGGAGAAGGGAAGGATGCAGGGAGAGCTGGGAATGTTCCCCTGGAGAAGGGAAGGATCCAGGGAGAGCTGGGAATGTTCCCCTGGAGAAGGGAAGGATCCAGGGAGAGCTCCGAGCCCCTTGCAGGGCCTGAAGGGGCTCCAGGAGAGCTGGAGAGGGACTGGGGACAAGGGATGGAGGGACAGGAGCCAGGGAATGGCTTTAGGGTGGAAAAGGGTGGATTTAGGTTGGATTTTGGGAAGGAATTCCTGTCTGGGAGGGTGGGGAGGGGCTGGGATGGAATTCCCAGAGAAGCTGTGGCTGCCCCTGGATCCCTGGAATTGTCCAAGGCCAGGCTGGAACACCCTGGGATAAGTGGAAGGTGTCCCTGCCATGGCAGGGGTGGATTGGGATGAGCTTTAAGCTCCTTTCCAATCCAAACCATTCCATGATTCCATGAATGTTTTGGTTCTCCTGGCTGCGAGGGCTACAGGAGGATATTTAATGAAATTGGATAAAAAATCCTTTTACAGGAATAAAACCAAAATAGGAATCAGGATAAAACCACGGAAATAGTGGTTATAAATTATTTGGGATGGCTTTTGGTTCCACAAATTATTGTTGTTATTATTATTATTATTATTATTATTATTATTATTATTATCAATTATTATTGCTATTACTATTACTACTCTTACTATTATTATTTATTTATATTACTATTATAATTACTATATTATTACTATTATTACTATTATTATTACTATTATTACTAATATTTATTTCTATTATTATTACTATTATTACTAATATATATTTCTATTATTATTACTATTATTATTTTTGATATGCTGATATATTAATATATTGATGTATTAATATATTACTAATAATAATATTACTACTATTATTATTTCCTGGCAATCCCAGAGGTGCTTGGGGCTGCGGATATTTCTCATTGGGATTTAAAGTATCCATCCCAAAAGTACAAAGAATTATTCAGAAATTCAGAAATTCAATCTCAAGCCAAGGAGGACGATTTGAATGTGGAATTATTTCGTTATCACCCAAATTTAATCTAAAAGCAGCGGAGCTGAGTGGGTTTCCTCTGCTTGGGGCCTCTTTTTTATCCCTCTTGGCCCAGCTTGGATGGTTTATTCCAGGAAAAAATGTGATTTTAGCCAAGTTTTGGCTCAGTTTGTGATACCCCTTTCCCTCACACTCCCGTTTCCAGCTCACCAGGAGCAGGCTGCAATTTTTCTGAGGAAGCTCAGCTCTGTTCCCACATCCTTCCCAACTCCTCCGGCTCTAATTAATTAAGGATTGATTAGCTGTGATGTCTTTGCTTGTCCCTCGTCCCAGAAGCCGTGGCTGGACATGGAGCAACTGCCACCACGGGAGGTCCCACAGGGGGTGGCCTTTTCCATGAGGACCCCCCACACTTCCCCTGCAATTTGGAATATTTTGGGAGGTCCCTGAACCCCAGCCAGAGCAGCCCCGAGCTCCGTCATCCTTTAGCCACGGGATAAAATGTTGGGAAATAGGAGAAATGAAGGCTCTCTTTGGGATTTGTGGCTCAGATGAGCCTCGTTTTCCCAAAAAAAAGCACAAAACTGGTTTGCCAATGGGATTTTCCAGAGCCGGAAGGGATGAATATTGTGGTTCTCTCACCCAGGTGGCGAGTGGGAAGGCTTGCCTGGTAAAATTAGCTTAAATTTGGGCTAAAAACCTCTCTTTTAGAGCAAAAGCCAGGCCAAAAGAGCTGGAGAATTGAGCCAGGATCTCAAGATTGAAGACAAAAGTCACCAGAACGAGGCCAGATCCCAAATCCAGCCTTCAGGTTTTGTTATTCCCACTCCCAGCCCTCCTCGGGAGTGATTCCCACGTGTAGCACCCCTCCCAAATCACCCTGCAAAGGATTTCCTCGGGAATGGGACGCCAGGAAATCAAATCCCTAAAAATCCCAGGATTTAGGGATGTCGTGGGAGGGAACTGCTGACCTTTGCTGGGACCCCGGGCTCAAACCAGGATTTAGGGAAGTTTAAAAGCAAAGCTCCGTCTCCGGGATGGATCATTTCTAATCCCTTGGGCTCGCTGGGAGACAAACGGAGGGGAGAGATTGGAAAAGAGGGATGAAAGCCCAGCTTGGGGTTTATCAGCCCTTCCCAGCTGAGCCAGGCTTAGATTAAAAACGATCTGAGGGAGCAGGGACTCGCTGCAGCCGGGAGCCCCTTCCAGGCTAATTACAAAGAGCATTTCCAGCAGCACGGAGCAGCTGCAGAGGGCTTTATCTCACTGAAGGGCCTGCTATTCCAGAGTGGGAATAATTATTAAGGAAGGAAACGTCAAAAAAGGAAATTGCACATCCATGGCGTTTCCCTAATCCCACGTTTCTCCAGCAGGACCCTTTCCTTGGCACCTCGGAGTTTTTCCAGCCTCACTGGGCACTGCAGCCCTTTCCAACATTGTTTTCTTTTATTTTCATACCAGGCATTCCCAATAAAAATCAGGGATTGGGGATGGAGTGCTTTTTTGGCTTGGTTTTTTTTAAGAGCAGAGCACCCCCAGCTCTGCTGCATTCCCTGGATTTGGAGGTGTCCAGAGGGACAGCAAAACCTGAGGGCTCTAATTCCTGATGAATTCATGGATTACCCTCTCAATCCCAGAAGATTTTACCGGCCCAAGACAATTGTAAAATAGAAAGATGTCAAAATACAGTGAAAATAAAACTGCAGGAGAAGAGCAAGCTACACTCCTTTTCTTCCTATGTATTTTGGGAATTTTTGGAGTCTGCTGACTCTAATCCCTGTTTTCCCAAGAAGTTGTAGGTGGGGATGCTCCTGGTTTATAAACTTAGGTTTTGTTAAGCCCATCCTAGAGGTTAAGGGATCCTGTTAATGCCTGTTCTTGGGGCTGCAGCCCTGCCCTGCTCCTTTCAGCATTCCAGGAGGAAAAGCTGCCCTTTCCAATCTTATTTCCTTTCATATTCATACGAGGTATTCCAAATAAAAATCAGAAATTTGGAACAGAGCAGTTTTTTGCTCAATTTTTAAGAGATCCTTCACCTTCATTTGCCCCACAGCACAAAAGGATCTGGTTTGGAGTAACCTGGGATAGTGGGAGGTGTCCCTGCCCACGGTGGAATGGGATGGGTTTAAGGTCCAACCCAAACCAGTCTGGGGTTCTGTGTCCCATGGGGATTGGGATGTGGAGGGAAGGTGGGATGGCAGAGGGGCCTTGAGGAATATGGGATTTATTGCGCTTCATCCCACAAATCCTGCCTCCAAACCTCGGCTGCGATGGGGTTTGGGACATCAGGAAAATAGTTCAGGCTCACTTGGGCTTCTCCTGCTGCATGATCCAGCAGGATTTACATTCCTTTTGGGAATACTCAGCAAATCTTCTGCTTCACAGCCTCAGTTTTCCACAAAATCAGGGTGCTGAGGAGCCCCCACGGAAGACAGAAAATCCTGGAAGGCCCCAGCTCAGCTGCTGTGGGATATTTCCCAGGTGGCTGCCACAAGAAGGGCTCGTTTTCCTCAACCTCAGGGAAAATCCCCGGGGTTTTGTTCCCATGACAAACAACAATCCCAGCAGTGGGACAGGCCTGTGGGATCCCATCCCATCATCCAGACCCGGAATCTGCTGCTCCCATCTCCAAGAGGAAACTTGCTTGGCTCTGCACAGGAGGGGGAAGTGGCCTAAAAGTGCAATATTTGTGCAGCCTTGTTCCCATCTCCTCTGCCCAAAGCTGCCTGGGCCTGAGGGGATTTTCTTGGCGGCTCTGGATGGCACCAGGCGGGATTTGTTGGCTCGGAGTGAAGCAATCCCGGGATATCAGAGCCTCACGGTATCTCCAGCCCTGGCTGCAAACAAAGATTTGATTGTCTGTGTTTATCTGGGATGATTTATAAAGCAGCTTTTCAGGAAGAAAAACATTGGTGGGGTTTTGGATCTGGGATCTTCCCTCTCTTTTTCTGTGAGGGGGAAAAACGTTGGATCCAGTTGGGGTAAGGTGGGATCTGAGCCCTTTCCAGGGACACAGGTTGGGGAGGCCCCAGATTGGGCACCCTGCTGCAAGGGATGAGGAAATTCCGGGGGAAAATCCTTCCCTGTGAAGGTGGGGAGGAATGGGAATGGAATTCCAGTGGCTGTCCCATCCCTGGAAGTGTCCAAGGCCAGGTTGGATGGGGCTCGGAGCACTGAGGTCATTGGGAATGACACAATCCTTAATGTTCTTCCCAACCCAAACCATTCAGGATTCTGGGATTGTGTCATTCCCAATGACCTCATCCCTGGTGAAACCACCACATCCAGGTGGGCAGGAGGATGGGACTGTGCACCAGGATTGTGAATGTGCCCGGCAAAATGGGAATGTTCTCCCTTTTCTCCCAGGAATGGGAAATTGGATGTCCCAGTGCCAGGCCAGGGGTGGCTTTGAGGGTCTCAGGCCTGGCAGCTGCTCCACAACACCCTGGGGCACAGGGATTGATGTTTTTTGGGATGTTCTGTGCAGGGCCAGGAGTGGGACTGGGTGATCCTTGTGGAACCCTTCCAACTCCGGGTATTCCCTGATCCCACTGTGGATTTAGGGGTCTCTGCACACCTGGCAAACAAAAGAACGAGGCCCAAAAGCTGGAAAACCTCACAGGAAAGGAAATGACAGCATTCCCTCCATGGAGGGTTAAAATAACATCCTGGACTGGCGGCACCTGGAAGAACATTGTCCTTAGGGGGAATTGTTCCCACCTGGAAGAACATTGT